ATTTTTTTTTCAATAACATTCGCATTAATTAATTAATTATGATCAATGACAAGTCTTTTTATATACAGAAAATCTTAATCCTCATTCGTTAATTATTCAATCTGAGGGATTGTGTCAATAATTATCTAATTTTATATAGCAATCTTTTTTCATGCAAAAATGTATTTTGTTGAGATTATTTCATTTCGGAGTGCAGAAAGAATTTCGACGGTTTACTAAAAATTCATAAAAATTTCTAATAATTAATTTCTAATTTCTAATTTCTAATTTTAAATTTTTTTTAAAGGAGCTTCAATGCATGTAACTATAAGTATAAGTCACTTTGTGAGAAATGCTGTAAAAAGATGCTGTCTACAGCGAAACGATATATCAATGAGCTATTCGAGATGACTAGAATAAAATCCTGCCACATTTTTCTCTTTCTTTCCTCGACTCCTTGTGCACGCGTAGACATATCCCGCGCCGTGTTCTTCGCGCTCCGAATCCTCCTATCTCCTTCGAGATGACGTAAAATAAATATTAAAACTATCGAGATATATCAACGGTGAGCATAGTTTAGCGAATGCGAATCTCATCTCTCGTGTTGTCTGTATGTTCGTATGTGTCCTCTGTCTGTATGTATATGTATAATATATATTTGTATTTATATATTTATATATATATTTATATTTGTATTTATATTTAGACTTTATGTCCGCTATACCGTAATTATAATAATTACACTGCGCGCGCGGTAACTCGTGCTCTCTTCTTCTTTCAACGGACTTTTCCCGCTAATCATTTTCCCTTTTCATCTCGTCGCGCGCTTCTATATAAATCCATATTTATAATATATATATATAATATATTATAATATTTAATAATATAATGCTATCAGTAATGAGGATGGCGATGACGATGACGACAATGAGCCGATGTCGCGACAACTAACGATATCTTAACGGTAATTCCTATTATGGCAGACTATCTACGATAGGATCGTCCGTCATGAACGAGAGTGCGTTGCTTTCCAGGACTCCTCCGCATTCAGGACAACGAAATGTACTCGTCGAGGATACATCCCGCGGGACTCGTGCAGGAGAGCAAAGAAACAAGGAGTACGCGCGACGTAGAAACGAAGAATCGCCGCTGACGACGAGTCATGCCGTCTTTGAACAGTATCGTCGTGTTAACATATGTGTGCGTGTCCGTATGTATGTATATGAGAATGTATGTGTATGCGAATATGTGTGAATGCCCTTGATTAATGTCGTTACAACACATCTAATACGTTCGCCCAATTCGCGACATTAAATAAATGAACGAATCCCGGCTGCGCGAGGACGACACACGCCGATCTAAGATCCGACATTGACGACAACGACGCGATATTATACCTACACGTATATATGTATATATAAGTGTATGCGTGGGTGATTGATTTTTACCGTTTTTACGATGGTGACCGTGATGAGTAGAATCGATGCGATGGGAGAGGGATCCGTTAGAAAAAGTCTCGTCGCGTGTCTTTGGATATTTCACTACGTTTTTTTTTTTTACGTATAACGTACTATACAGATAGGTATATGCTGCGACTTCTCCGCCTTCTCGTTTACCATCTTTCTACGTGTGCCGTCGCGTTATTGCAACGTTCCTTTTGCACCTTCGACCCCGAAGTATGACGTGCATGTCTGTGCGTGTTGTACGCACGCACCGCGGATGACATAATATGCGGCATGACGCGATACGTGCGACAAGCACGTGTAATTAGTACTTTCACTAGCTGCACAACTACGAGGAAGTTGTCTCTCGCCGTTCGTTGAGGATTCATCACTCCTGGCGAGGGGGAGGCATACTCTTCCTTTCCCTTGAGATCCTTCGAATGTTCGCGATGGCGATCAGGTGACGGATCAGGTCGTCTCGATTAGGGCGTCACGAACGCCCACTCGGATGATATGAATCGCGTGACTCGATGTGACGTCGTTTGGAGATTTTGCTTTATGCCCGGCTGATTATTCCTCCTCCTCGCTCTCTTCCGCGGGACCGTACATGTCGGCCAGTTTGTCGAATCTTGGGCCCCAGGCACCTAAATATTCGTACTCATGTTGCTCGTCGTCCGTACCTACAATCAGAAAATTTATTAAAAGTTGATATATTAACGTGTGTTTATGTATACACTACGAAGAATAGATTTTCGCAAAATTAAAAAAAAATGTTTAAAAATTTTATTATAATATATAATATTTAAAAATTTGTTGTAACGCCGAATTATTTTTGTTAATATTTGAGAAATGAGAATTATTTTTGTTAATATTTGAAAATTTTAGTTTTTTCTAAAAAACTTTTAGGAAAAGAGATACGTGGTTTTTTTAAACAAAATATATAAAATGTTAAATATCTTAAAAAAATCTCTTTCTTACGTACCGGAAGCTAATGACTCTAAAGACCCCGCGGTGCTTCCGCCACCTTCATAGGCGTAATTCCGTAAATCGTCGAAGGGTGGTGCGTTTGGATCACTATCAGCCCTCTTCTTATGATCCTCGATAAAAACGCCCACATTCGGCTCCGGTCCAAGTGGATCTGAGAATAATTCGATTATTCTTTAGCTTTCTTAAACTACCTTATCGCTTTACAATCGGCCGAGAAATAAAACATACAGGCTATTTTACACGGAGGCAGTTTGCCACTCATTTCCGGTATCGGGCCACCAATTGGGATCTGCAAAGGTGTGATATCGAATGCGGTCATGTCGTCCTCTCCGCCACCCTCGTCGTCATAATTGATGATATTTTCTCTCACATCATCGTCTGGACCGGGATACTTTATGTGCGCTTCTCGTCTTCTGTTATAAACAACGAATACCAACACGAGAACTGCAAATTACGATATTAACAGAATTAGTTTGCATGATTTGTATTGGATAAAATCAATTATTATCAATAATTATCAATATTGAAATAATACTTCTCTTGTAAAAGTTCAAGCAAGTGCAAAGTGTAACACAGCAGTAATGTAATACGATATTGCAATAAAACAGGTGTCAGTCTTATCAATGGGAACATCATTCTCGAAACAAAAATTTACATTCAGGAAATCTTGTGCAATTTTTATGTGCGGTTTTGATTAATGTAATGCAATAAGCATAACGTTTGCATAACATGTAACGCAAAGTGCATTGCGAAGAAAAATTAAAGCAGAAATATAAGGAGAAAATACATAAGGAGAAAATAATGTAAAAATAGGTGTGTAAATAGAAAGGAAAATAAAATGAAAAGACATAAACTTTTGTAACAAAATTTTTATTTTTCAGTCGAAATTAGTTTTCAGTTGCCGCAAAAATAAGAACTGAAACATAATTAAACATGCTTAAAAACATAAAATAAAAGCAATATTTTTAAAAATTCGCAGTAATACGTAAAATAAAAAGTTTCCATAGAAAAAAACAAGAGGCATGCATCAAATTATATACTTAATAATCCAAATATTTAACAACGGTTGACTTCTATATACTAACCAAGAATGATTAACAGACAGACGAGAATCGCCGCTAATGCTCCCATGCTCAATTTGAGCGTTTGACCTTCTTGGACCAGTTCGCAATTCTCGCCCCAGAAACCGTCAGGACAAATGCATCGGTATCGGAATCGCGGGTCCTGATTGATGCATCTGCCACCGTTTAGGCAGGGATAGTCAATGCACTCGTTCTTGTCCATGCATCCTTTGTTATCTGGTGAAGGAATTCTTCCCTCTCCGCAACTGTGATGAAAAACATAATGATATCGATTGTCTCAAAGATAAATGAAGTCGTCGATAGTAATGATATTTACGTGCAGTCGTATTCGTTCCAGAGATCGATACATTCAAATGGATCCTGACAAATGACATTGGCGCACGGTTTATTCGATGGACAATTTCTTTCCAGGTTTCGCGCCATCGTTGCTTGACCCCACTGAGTTCCGTTCATGGCTGGCGGTAGTGGAAGATGTTTTCCTTCTAATCTTATATCGTCCAAACAACCTAAAATTTGTATTAAAATTATACAATTATTAATCAATTTATTCTGTTTTGTAAAAAATTATGTTAAGATTCTCATGAAATAGAATCAATTCGATTTCTCTTTATTTCTCAAATAAAAAGTTAGATGTTTAATGTTTTATGTATTTTATTCAAAATATTTTATTTTATTTATTCATCGGAGCGATAAATCATAATAAAAAAATTAAGTTGTCTTTTAATTATTCGCTGAATATAATAACTTAATTTAAGTATTATTATTTAAAAGCGCATCCATATTTAATTTCTTCGTCAAGTGATTCAACTTACCCTTCTGATAATCCGCGTATACTTCAAATGTACGGACACCAGTGTATTCCGCCTTGCCACCCGCGTAGACACCTTCTTGTTTATCGACGAGGAGCCATTGATGGCCCTCGAAGGAAAAAGTTTCATTGAATCTTCGTCCTTCGCCACCGTCCAACTCCAAAGTTGCAGCGGATCCATATCTCGACACTCTAACCGTATGCCATTGGCCATCATCAACTGCGATTGCTGAAAGCCAAATATCTCGCTCTTCTGTCCTAAGACTATTCAGATTATACCTGAAGTGCAGTCTGCTGTCTTTGATCTGAAATTGTATATATGAATAAATGTTTCAGACAATTTGTTAAATCTTTCTTCAATAAACATAATTTGAAAGTGATGCATGTTGCAGTCGAAAATATTTAAAAATCTAACGATTTTGAAGACCTACTTGAAGTCATAGCAAAGAAATACTAAAAAGTTATTTTAAATAAAGTTTGTATATAATGCATTTTATAAATAAAAATATCGCATATTTTATGATTAAATATTCCATTTATGAAGTAAATAAATCTGTTTAATTAAAAGCAGATTTACACAAAACCAGCTCATGCAAGAGATGACTGAAATCGAAATACTATAAATTCATTGTTTATGACGTTTTAAAATAGTGAATAAATAATTCTGGATAAATAAAACATGTTGGAATAATAATAGTTTCATAAAAGGATTTAGGAAATATTTATCGAGCAAAAATAATTGTTTAATAATTCACGAAATGTGTTGCTCACTCACCTCCAAAATGGCGTATTCCCTGTTGTGTTGATCGCTCACTCGGAACAGTTCACCGTGAATCTCTCGGGTGCGGAATCTGAGTTGCACCTGGGTGGAATATTTGTCCGGTTCGAAGGACAGTGCGTATTTGACGTAGCTCTGAGGCTTAAAGGTGGTCGGGATTGTCGGTGTCATGCATCCGGGACCAGTCCAGCCTGGATTGCACTGGCATCTCGCCTCGGTGAAGCTGCCCACGCAAGTGCCGTGTTCCCAGCAGCGGAAGGTCGATTCTTGATTGTTGCAGATCTCCTCTGTCTGCGGGCAACCAGCAACGCTGTTCCGCGAGAGACCCGGATGTGCGAGATCGTACAGTTTGCTGTTGTGAAAGAGATTCTTAATGCAGCCGTCGAAACCCTTGCCCACTGGCATGTGCTTCCATTTGTAGTGCGTCGGGTCGAATTGCTCCACGTAAAGACCGCCGATCTGTAGCGGTGCGTTCACGTTCAGGTACTCGTTGAACGGCGGTATCGTGCCTGTGGCTTGGCAGGTAGTATCGTTGAATTCTGGCGGACTTCCGTCTTCCAGCTCGGACACTTCCGCGGATTTGCAATAATCGATGATGAGCTTCACGGTCTAGATAATATTCAAGTCATTTAGAATTGTTTTGTATTTGTGGAAATATGATAAAAGTCTGTCATTTCGACACACATATTGTGTGTATTTTCACATAGCGCATCAAAATAATTTTGCAAATAATATCAATTATTTTACCTCTGTATTCCAGAAAATGTCAAGTCGGTGCCACTCGCCGTCGTCCAAGGTTTTCTTTGGTTTCACTTTTAATTCTAAAGTGCCGGATCCAAAGTCGATCAGTAGCCTCGGTATTCCGCGTTCCAATTCGACCGAAATGAAGTCTGTTAACATATGTTTTGCATATCAAATTATTGACACGCCATTAGAAATATAAAAATTCAAAAGATTAAAAATCTCACCAGAAACCATTATTTCATCGACTTCGGGAGGAACAATCGGACCATTATACAATAATAATCCATCAGACTTTCTCGTAATAAATTCGAAGCTCAAGTGGCTGTTATCGCACATTTCCAAAGCAGGATACCATGCCCAACCATTGCCTCGAAAACTTCTGGCGGTCTGTTGACACCTCGGACCGTTATAGCCAGATGGACATTGACACCTAGAATTGTAAAATACATAATTAATTAAAGTAAAACACATAATTAATTAAAGTACAAGTTTAAGAAAGTAGAGATTGTTTAAGAGATAATTTTCAAAATTCTATATCTTTACATTTTTTTAATTTATTTTTCTTAAGATTTTTTTGCAAGCAAATTTTACTCGCGTAAAATATATATGTAATGTAAGAATGCCTCTCATATGTATGTATGCAGAATGTCTCTCAATAGAGTTTAATTGATTTCCACTTACGATAATCCAAACCGGTCTTCCACACAGCGTCCGCCATTATAGCAGGGGCTGTTTCTGCAGGATTCACCCTTGCTGAAATTCCGCGCTCCGCAGGTACACTCGGCTATTACATCCACGCGTACGCCAACAAGTGCGGTCCTATTCGCATTCACCATGTATGGCAAATTGCTAATGTCGAGGGTGTTTGTACAGCTCCCCTCGCACATCTCGTTCTCGTAATAACATTCGTCGATGCCGACCATAGTTATGTTGATACCCACATCTTTCTCGATCTGTCAATCGAAAATATAATTTAATTAACGCGTTACATTGTTAATTTATTTGAATAACGAGTTTCTTTATTCAATATAATTTTTTAAAACATTTGGGATATTATCTAATGGTTTCTAAAGCGACATTTACCTCTTCGCGATGCATAAGCACAATGCCATTAAGCCTGACTGGTTTATAGTACAGGGAACCATGTGCGGCGAATCTAACGTCTGTTAATGGTGGATGTACTCTCCTTAATTGCACACTGAAAACGTCCACGTTTTCTCTGTCTATATTCAACAGATGCGACAGTTTGTCCCTAAATAGATCCGCTTTGCTTCGTGACAGAGTTTGATTCTGAAAATCGAATAAATCTCATAATATTGTTCCACGAACACAAAACACAAAAATTAAAAAAAAAAACAGAAATTTATTTATTAAAAAAGTTTATTGGTTATTAGTTATTAGTTATAAATATGATTGTGCGATATACATATTATATATTTATTATAGGATTTGTTAGGATAAGATTTCAAGACTCTCACCTGATAATTCCAGACTCGAATGAAGTCCTCATCTGTTATCCCGGCTATTCGAACCGAGCCTGAATTTAGTACTGCCTCATGCGGAATACTTTTAACAGTGACAGTCACGTTGGCGGGCACATCCGTTTGCGTATGCTTCCGATCGTAAACCTTAAATCTCAGATGATATTTGCCGTCGTGTGTGCCGGATTTCATGAAAATCATTCCCGAATCTTCGTCGAGCTTAAATTGCGCGTGCTCTAATCCTTCCCAGTAGAATTTTTTGTCCGGCAGATCCCAATCGTCTAGATCGTACACGTATACTCTACCTATCTCAGTATCCGGTGATTGTCCCTATAAATTAATTATAATTATAATTATATTTGATGGAATTTTTTGAATTTGTATTGCAGAAACTATAGAAAAAAAATTATATTATAACATAATTGATTTGAATTAAAATAATGTAAATACGTACTGCATAGTTATATACAAAGATTTCCTTGGAGCCCGGTTGCATTTTATTATCGTTAACATCCCCTATAATAACCGTCAAGGTACTGGTCCCAGACATAGAAGGATTCCCGGAATCTTTGATGACAATAGGAATTAAGAACTCCTTTTGTTGTTCTCTATCAAAGGATCGCAAAGATGATACTACAGCCATTCCATCTCCATTCGCTCCCTCTAAAAAATTACGAGAGCACAAATGATAAATTACATTTTACGACGCATTTTTTTTTTTGCTTAATTGAGATGAAGTTTAATATTGTAAAAAATAACTTTCCACGCTATACTAAATTTGTTAATTAACGAAACTTACTGTTATCGCTCTCAACTTTGAAGCTAGCTCTGATAACATCGTTTGCATTGGGATCCATGCGGAAAGTAAACGGAGGGCCGTTGCTTCTCGATCGATCATCGTCATCGGTAGCGAGAATCTCGACGACCTTTTTGGTTTGCGCGTATTCCGGTAAAACTGGACGATAGTCCTTGAGGAATCTCGGCGGATTGTCGTTAATGTCTTGTACAACAACTGTCAGAGTAGCTGTCGCGGTTTTAGGTGGTATTCCATCGTCGATCGCCAAAATTTTAACCTGAGACAATAGATCGTTATATTTAATAACTTTTACAATTAATTTACATTTTAGCTCAGAATGTGTGTTGATAAATTTTTTAAAAATTTGTCAAATCATATATAATCTTAATTTTTTAATAGACAATATTTTTTACTATGACTATCTCATAATAATTAAATAACGTAACAAATTTTTTAAATATATTACATTGATATAATTTACCTGATGCCGAGGAGTTTCTTCGCGATCAAGACTCCTCTGTATCGATACAGTGCCATTTTCATTGATGAAGAACTGTCTCTTTCGATCGGAGCTTCTGTCAATGGAGTAGGAAACCTTGCTCTTACCACCTTGATCTGGATCAGTGGCCTTGAATGTTTCTAGGCTACTGCCTATACGGGCATTCTCTGGCACGGTAGTCTCAATATTGGCTTTCTCGAATTGTGGCTGATTGTCATTGATATCTCGCAATTTCACGACTACCCAGGAATAGGCTACATGGTATTTGTCGTTATCATTGTCCTCGCCCTAGAAAAATGGTTGTCAATTTGATAAAATTATTTATTACAAACAATGAGAAATTATCTTCATTTAATATTTTTATAATTTAATTAAGAAACGAAATTATTTATTTATTATAAAACTATTATTTTCAAAAAAACTTCAAAAGATGACTTTATTTAATTAAAAGCTTTATAAACGCGTATATAATTTAAATAGAACAATTTTTACAGAAAGTTATTAGACTATTTAATTAAAATCTTTTCATGCCTTGCTCTTCTCTATTTTTAAAATTTTATATATCTTATTTAATTTTCTTTTTGCTCACCTTATCATTCACTTGTATCCTAAACCTAAAGCCATTACTCTGCAGTTGGTCCTCGTAATCCAACGATTGCACAATTTTCAATGATCCTGTGCCATCGTTATTTCGTACCATAGTAAATTTGTCGGCACCATAACCACTGTTCTCGATTACCTGGAATAAATTGCGAATTATTTATTGCTGGCTAAAATAAAAATTAAATAAAATAAACTAGTGATTGTATTACTCAAATTTCGAAAATTCACATTGAAAGTTCGCATTATTTAAGTACATATCAATATATTGCTGATTAATCTTGTTTTATTTATAAAATTCTTAACATGTATGTTATAATCATAAATTTTAATCTGATAAACACTAATATATAAATAATATACATATGTGTTCTTTTATTTATATATTAACATTTGCGTATTATATTGCGTAACATTTTTTTTAAATAATTACGCGATAAATAAAAAAATGATAGCATTAATTTTAAATAGAACGCAAAGGAACCTGGCCTGATTTTCCTAAGCATTTTATTTTGAAAACATTGTATTTTGATTAAAAATTTCGCGTCGTGAACATAATAGAATACCTTGTATTGGAATTTATTGGTTTCGTCCTCGTCGTGCACGGTTACAGTGAGTATCGGCATCTCTGGCAGATCTGGTCCTTCCGTCTCATCCACTTCGGTAAACCACTCGTCCTTCGTGAATTGCGGTGGCATGTCGTTTATGTCTTTGACCCGTATCGATGCCGTCCCGGTACCTGCCAAGAAATGCATAGAAATGCTGCAACGATGACTCTCAATGGAATACACCGGGAAGTACTTAAAATATGTAAAACGCTAAATATGGAATCGCTATATCGTTCTTGCGGAAATATTCGTTGATATTTCACACATATGATGATACGAACTTTTACACATGAATACAAATGAATATCAAAAATGTAACTGATAAAAGACACATAGAGAGAAACGCAGTTGATAATATTTTATTAAATAAACGTAAAATGTAATTTAAAAAAAGAATAGTCGACATCCTTTCATTTCTACAATGAATATTCTGATGAATATAATATCGTAGAAGTAAAGCAAAATTAATTTGTTTTCAATAGGAATTATTAACAATTATTAACATTTATTTTAAATTATATTATACCTAGGATATGAAAATATAATTGCGATAGCGAAGTTAATCATGAATGTAATATAATATATAATTTAAAAAAGAATATATGAAAAATTTTTATTGGAATTAAAATTATAAATTAAAATAATTTTATACCCTTTAACCCCCCTCCATCCATTGCCACAACTTGTATAGAATAATCCGGAGTGCGTTCTCGATCTAAGCAGCATACAGCGGTCTTGATCACGCCAGTTTCCGATTCAATTTCAAAAATAGGTGAGCCAGTTTCCTCCTCGATGACATTCTTCTCGATGGAATAGATAAGCCTTGCGTTCGTGCCTTCGTTTGGATCATCGTAGTCCACGGCTGTCATCGTCATCACCACCATTCCTAATAAAAAAGACATGGAATTTATTGGAATTTATTGGTTTAGAAAAAAAAAAAACATAAAAAACATCCTTTAGTCAATCTTTTCGCTATTCCCGAGCTATCGATGAGACCAAATGATTAATCTCACGATAAGAGCGTTTCTCGATAAACCGATAAACTTCTCTTTATCTTTATCGCGAGCTTTAAAATATGCAAATCGTCTACGTCTCTCGCATAGATTTCCACGTAATAGCGTAAATGCGATGGAACGGGAATCTAATCAGCGTAACTCTAATGGCACGGGAATGTAACCGCGTCCGTGTATTGCCCCATCGGCTATCCCCCACAAACCTGCGGTGCCATTCTCGGTAACGTTGCCGAAGTAGACACCCTGCGGGAATATCGGGGCGTTGTCATTGATGTCCTTGAGGTTAACTTGGACGTCGGCGTAACCCACGAGACCCTCTCCACCCTCGTCCTGAGCAAACACGGTGAACCGCCACTGCGGCCGGCCGTTCGGTTGATCTCTGTCCAATGGCTGTGACCGGAAGAAAAAGGAAAGTCACGCGCGAATCCTTTGAGAAACCGGTCAAACGGACCTCACGAGGACGTCGTATTGACACGGTCTTTACTCGAAACTCAATATCGTACTGCAGTACCGTACTGCCGATATTTGAATTATTCCATCGCAATATTGCATCGCGCGGCCACGTGCACAAATATGTACATTCTGTAGTCACAGAAGAATTAATTTCCGTGCTGACTAGGTGTCAAATTACGTCAGCTGTTTAAATACTAATGCGAAATCGGACCGAATGGGTTATTATTTGCCATCTTTTTAGACTTAAAAAATAAAATAAAATTTATCTCACATTAATTATGTGATAAAATAGTGTGTTATCTATTGCCTCTCTGAAAAATCAATTTAATAAAATTGTTTTACAACGCATTTATTAGTCTCGTAATTATTAATTAAAGGAATGTTATCATTATATTTTCTATTTTTGCTACTAATACCTTGAAGAGAATTTACGACGACTTTTATAATGCACAATAATAGTTATATTTAATGTTAACTTCAAACCTTTATATTACGCGAATGTAAAAAATTATATTAACAAATATTTTTGTATGTCTAGTTAAATATTACATATATAAATGCAATAAATATCACGTTACTGTTTTAATTCTTTAAGGAATTGTTTTACCAAAGTGAATTGATTGATTTCGAAGCAAACCTTTAAAACAAAGATCTCTCCGCTCGTGCGGTTGATATCAAACTTGCTGTTCGCAGGATTGTCAGGATCGATACCTTGCCCAGTTAAGAAGTAGACAATGTTTTGCGGTCTATCTTTGTCCCCATCGGTCGCGGTGACCTACGGTTCAAATATTAATTTTTAATTGACCGCAAACTCTCCGCGGTTTAGATAAACATTTGGCACACTGGTAATTCAAAGTTCAATTTAATGATTACGTTACGATTAAGAAATTACCCCAAGAACGCGTTTCGGCAAAGTCCTGTCGTCCTCTTCGGTAATTTGTGTTCTGTAATTTGGCCGCTCGAAGACGGGCGGGTTGTCGTTTACGTCTTTCACGTGAATTACAACCGTTGTGTAATTCTCTTTCAAGTTGTCGGAGGCAGTAAGCCGAAGCTCATACTGCAAGATGTACGCGCAAATTTTATGGTAAAATCAGATATTTAGTTGGAATTTAATTATATTTATCTTATATATAATATAAATGAAGAGATGAAATAAATTAATTAAATTATATCTATCAATTGCAACATTTTTATTGTTGAAGATCTATAATAAAAAATACTGCATGCAATAAATAAAAACATGCGTCATATTTTTTTTTAAATAAAAAAGCAGTTAACGTAAATTATTTAATTTCTTATTATTTAATAATTCTTGGGCTCTGATAACGAAAGTAAAAAAAGAATTATTGGAATTTCTTTTTTTAACAAGCGAGATATTGAATAAACTTCTGAGTAAACAAAGATCCTATGCAGCTATAAAGTATAATAAGGCATCCACGCGGCACGCTCGGATGACATTTATAGAAGAGATGGAATAAACTAATTAAATTGTCATTATATCTTTATCAATATAAACATTTTTATTGTTAAAAATAACATAATAAAAAATATTGCAGGCGTAAAATGAAAAAAAAATATGCATCATATTTTTGTTTAAATTAAAAAAGCAATTATTTAATTTCTTATCATTTAATAATCCTTGGGGATGATAATGAAAGTAAAAAAAGAATTATTGGAATTCCTTTTTTTAACAAGCGAGATATTGAATAAACTTCTGAGTAAACAAAGATCCTATACAGCTATAAAGTATATTATGGCGCATATTCGCGCGGCACGCTCGAATGATATTTATAGCGATACCAACCCTCTTCCTCGTCTCATAGTCCAACGCACCCGCGACGTAAATGGCGCCGGTCATGTTTTTCACGGCGAATGCACCGCCTATGTTCCCGCTCGTGATCTCGTATCGAATACGCGAGGCTGCGACAGAAAGAAAGGGCATGCTTTTAATAAAAGCAAGACGCGACTCTCAACGACACTTTTATTATAATCCGAATTCCGAGTTCTCGCAGCAGCGAATAAGAAAGTTTGGATGCTAGCACGGAGGAGCGAGAGGGGGTGACCACCTCCGATCGATCGCCATTCAAAGTCTACTCGATACTTTCGTTACCTAGCTCTCGATAATTCTCGCATTTCAAGATATGGGAGTAAAAGTTTCTTGACAAAAATGGTATTCAGTAAATTTGATTTTATGCTGACTCGTGAAATACAGAATATTCAAAAATCTGAATTCATGTATCTTTAATATTTTTTCATTCACAACCATAAATATCTATCTCTATTTTCTTTTTATTTCTGATATTTAAACATGTAGTTTTAGGACTACAATTTAAGATTTAGTATTATTGAATAATATTAGCAATATCAAATCTAGATTTATCCTATGTGTAGTTCGAGTTGCATCCAAAATTTTTAAATAAAATAAAATATCTGAAAGAACAATTACCAACACGCACATGAAAGAAAACGTACATCTACAAGCCGATTTCAATCATATATTTGCATTATTTATTGTATGTATATCGTCTCTTTAATGTTTTTACATCTTACAACTATGTATTCAGTTTAAAAAGAATGTAATAATTTAATGTTTAATTTATATATATTGTATATTTTGTCTTGTATATTTTGTATTCGAAAACATATCAATTTCATCTGAATGTTTGTCAAATCATAAATTAAACATTTTCAAAATACATAACATGAAAATTCGCATGACAGTCTATTTGTTCGTATTATTCAAAAAGATTAAATATCGAGATAGAATAAATGAGACGATTTTACTTAATTTACATATGGAACACATTGCGCGGAACTTTCTGTACACAATCTGCGTTTTTATCGCATTCAGAGTTTAAATGCATTCAATGTGAAACAGATATTTTCATGAAACATGTTGACATGTAATTATTAATTTCGATATAACATGAATAATATGAATGATGGAGTAATAGAATGATTTGAATTTTCGGAAATGGTAATCCTTTTGAAACATGATAGTTGAAAATGACGTTTGCATTATATTCGCAAGAACTTCTATCCATCATGTTAAATCTGTCATCTCGTGACAAACGAGATCGTAATTTGGAATTCTCTCTCCATATCTCTCTAATTACCTTGTATGCTAAAATTAACACTGTACATATTTGCAATTAGCTACTCAAATATTTTCAAAATACATATAGGTGTAATGAGCATTATTATAACATAATGGGAAATTTATTATTTATATATATATATATATATATATATGATTCATATTTTTAGCTTTATTTATTTATAAAGAATGATAATGATATACGATAATAATATTTAAAAAAAAGAATACTTACACTCGTCGTGATCTTTGGCGGTGACGGTGAGCACCGTATGCTGAATGTCTTCATTTTCATCTACCTCAGCCTCGTAGAGGCCCTTGTCAAAATATGGGGGATTATCGTTCTTGTCGGCTATCCCAATGCGAATGAATTTTGTTACTGTAACATGTCAAAAGATTTTACACATTAAAGTAATTTTAAATTAAAAATATTACTTATATAAAAAGCTACATAATAATAGTTATATTAATAATTAATAGTTATTAATAGTTAATCGTCAGGAATACAAATTTTGTTTAATTGAACAAAAACGAGCCTTAAAAAATTAGTGTTTAGATAAATATTGTTTGAATTTTTATAGTTTACGAATAATAACAAATAATTTTATAAAGCATTGTAAAATAAATTAAAATGAAAAAAATTTATTCAACTTTTCTAGGTATATAAATATAAATGTTTCGCAAACAAATATCTTTTATATGCTGAATGTTTCTATACAATTTAAAACAATAGCTACCGTTCATCTTGTAGAAATAATTAATTAAATTAACGCATTGAATCGCAAATATTAAAGAAGAAAATATTATATTAAATCGTATATAAAAGAGAATTTCCGGATTGAAACATATTACCCTAACTTTAGTCCTTGCATTATACATTCTCGCGTCTTGGTCTTAATGCACTTTGCACTAAAGTACGGAACTTAGATGATAAAGAATCCCGAACCGTTAATCATTTTTTCGCCCCGCTACGGAAATTTAAGATGGGCAATTACCGGTCACCGCAAGCAAAAAGGTTAAGTAGTTTCAGATAACGGCACTTCATTCCAGAAGTAGACATTTATTGATGGAACTAGGTTGCCCGTTAGAAGAAAAATGTATAATTGCGGGAGCTTTTTCTAGATTGGTACATTAAGCCCTTAACCGCATTTTATGACGGTAAGGAGAGCGGTAAACATCGATCAGTTCCGCATAAATTTTGCATAATCCGCGGCATAATGCACAAGGAATGTTTGTCATTTTATCGACTCTCCGGTACGCCGCGGTCCATTATAAAGAGATTTAAACGTACGATTAATTACCCCGTGCCGCTTATTGTTAAAAGTTCAGGCGGCGCCCGTATAATCCGATTAACCGGTGGCGAATTTGTTTTAATTAATCGCCGAATTAAATCAATGAGAGCCGCGCTTTATCCGACGGACGTTCGGGTCCGCGCCTCTCGTCGTCACTCACTCGTCGCAGCTGCGACACAGCCGGTTTAAAAGCACGCAGCGCAAATAGCGAGCGTATATTTATTCAGCGAAGTCATGGCGTCCGCCATGTTACGTAGCGAATACGCGTGTACACCGTACGAGCGCATTAGCAGAAGAGGAATCCATTAAAATGTATTTCCTCCCCGTGTCCGTTCGATGCCGAGCAGGCTGCGCTATTGGCGCCGCGGCCAATTTGGTCCGAGAGCACCCTACCAAGACCTCCCCATCCTGCCTGAATTGCACGGCCGTTTCCTTTGCTCGGCAAATACCCGGTTGATTAAGTTAATCCGAGCGTGGGGTCCAGTCCTTTCTCACCGCGCCGCGAAATGCGAGGTAGTTGAGAAACGGAGAGCACGTGTGGACCTTAACGTCGCGAGTGCATGACCGTCATTTAATTTAATTGAGAGTTAATTATATCCGGCGGGATCTTCTGCCACGATTATGTCTTTAATCTTGCAATTAAGGCTCTAGGCTATTTAGCGAAAGGGGGTGTTTTAATTTGCAGTTATTACGACTCGCGGACGCCGTATTTTTGTATCACAATGTAACGGGTTTATCAATCAGCGAGAATTAATATAGTCCGATAAGCAATTTTTGGAATTTCTCATTATTATTTAATAATATCACTGAAATATCGCTGTTTAATTGTTTAATATCACTATACTACGTGCATTTAGGGGACAAATCAATTGACGATTAGAGTGCAAATGTGCAATTACGTTTCTTGTTTGCCAAGCAAATATTTTAATTATCATAATTGATTATCACAGTTTCAAATGGCAAGCAGTCGCGAATTGTTATTGCAAATGATTTTGACATTATCGCATAAGCGTGATTCGAAAGCTCGCGTTAATCTAAATAAATCCGCGAGATGTAGAATATGTCGCATGCCGCGCCATGTCGCGTCAATGTGCGCTGCACATGCAATTATGCAGCTGCGCGAATCGAAGTTCAACATGAGAAAATCTGTCCTGTGGACACAGGAGTGGCTATTAAGCTCCGGATGATCGTTATTAGACCGTCGTCGTTAAAGAAGAAATTTATCGTCGGCCCGTTACTAATAACTTTTGGGAAATAACTACGGCTTATTTTCATGAAGATCATACGATACGTCATCAACGTGACGTCGGAGAAACATGATTGATTCGTAAGCTCGCAGCTTCCGACGTCGCTGGGGGGATAAAGTTACGTAGTGCCGGATACGCGTGCACGTGCGGCACGCGGGAGCGTTGTTGCACGAGGAGAGAGGATCGTGATAGGCGAAATTTACGTAATGATAATTCATCATTGCGCTTATCGTAAATGTTACCACCCCCGATGTTGTGCATCATTGTTAACGGGAACGTCAGGTCTCCTTTTAATAGATTGCATCAACTTTACACGATGCGTTTGCGTTTAACAGTAAACGCGAATCGTATCCCACGGTAATGCGATACTAGATTACCATAATCGAGATAGATCGCGCATTCTTCACGGGCGGGTAAGTTTTACGGTAGTTACGGAAATTTATCTTCCTTAGAAAGGACGACGATACACGTTCTGAAATTAAACACACCTAACGGTCGCTGCTCTCGGAAAGTTCCCGCTTTTACTCGAGCTGCTGTGTCTTCATTTTCGTCTCGCGTCTTGAAGATTAAGTTTTAACGTCAAATACCAAATTCAATATTCGACATGTTCTTTAAATCATTTCTAAAGGAATATTCTAAAGGAATATTATTTTTTACATGTAATAAAAAGATAATTGCAATTAGCTGTGTTTTGAGAATTTAAAATTAATTAATTAATTGAAATGTCATGCGATATTTAATCATATATAAGAAAATTTTGGATTGAAATATTTTTAATAATGAAAATAATTCGTGCTATGGTAAAAATGTGCAATGTCATTATAACGTGCACGCTTAGTGAATTAATCAGCAAGCAGCTTAATGCTAATGGACATTTGAATTAATTATTAAATTATTTACGTGTATTACATGAAATTTGATATAATGTTAATGTCATTTTAAGTTATTAATTTTTTTAGAATTTTATTATTGGAAAATATATTCGTCATTTTTATAATTAAAATGACACGAAGTCTCTGAAGTTAATGTTTATGAAAGATCTACCTCGCTGAACTGAAACAACAAAACCCTGCGTGCTAACGAAAAAAATTAAGCGCTACCATTATAAAAACTCGATGCAAACGATCGAAGAGACGATCAGCGATTTCCTTAGACTCGATGCATCCCGCGGTGCATCAAAACTCTTTTGTAGGGGATAGCTACACCCAATGGTACACGACGGTCTCACGAAACGCGTTACTGGGCCACGGGGTAAGAAATCGATGAAGCCCCCACTCGCTTGCACACCCCTTTGCACCGAGTATCGTCCCAACGGCGCCGAGAGAACATTCGCTTCTTAGCCGCACCCTGCAACACTCGATTGGTTCCTAAAATACGAGTACCCTCGAGGCTTTTCGCCACTCTCGATCCCACGAGGGAGCTGACGAGGGCTCGTTAATGCCAAGACGGATCCTCGAGGGTCACCCGCCAGCTTGAAATTATGCGCTAGTAAATTAAGGGTCAACCTTACGTCGGTGTCAGAGCTACAGCTCTGGGAGATCTCACTTTGATTAATTCCGTAATTTTATTGAAGATTTGCATGATAATCGTAGCAGATAGGATTCTTTATCAACGATGAAATACTTTATGATGTAATCAATGGTGTTTCTACGGTTCTTTTTACTACTTTAATTTTACGATATTTATTGACAAAATTCTACTCATTTATTTGAGATTTTGTAATAATTAATACAATTAAAAACTTTATAATTGTGAAATAATTAAATATTATTTATTGAAATATGATTATTATCTTCATTGTATTGAAAGCTACCACAAAAGAGTTTCGGAGAACTATTGTTTATTTAACAGATATGATGAAAAAAAGTTATGAAAAAATATAATTAACACATTGATAAAGTCCATCTCTTTTAATGAAAGATATTTTAGAACGCTGTTCTGCATTTCTCCTTTTTTTAATATGCAATATTCAGCCAATATAAATAAAGAATTTAAGTCAACATTACACGTGAAATGGAAATGCATTAAAAAAAAAGCGTTTATGCACATAGTATGCGCACTAAGTCTTTCGACGTTTCTCGTTCAGCAAAAATCAACATGAAATTCCTCAAGGGATCTATCTGTAAAATGTCCTTGTGGTTGGTCTGGGATATCCTGTGTAAACTTAATTCCGCGATTTTGAAGAGACTCACGGCGCATTTTTATGCGCTAGCCTTCTGATTGCTTTATGGTCCGTAATGCACTTTATACATTGCCGTTCAGTGTAATAAAGCGAACGCGTTGACGGTTTTATGTCAAGAGGGACGGTTTATCGCCATGGAGTTTCATTATTGCTTTTTGTTTTATTACGCGAAACAAAACTGAATAACACAAACTGAATAACTAGTTAAACAATAATAATTGAGTAATATGTGTGGAATTCTCTTTTCCATCAATAAAAATATTATTTTTGTTACTTATATCTAAGATATTAATTAAAGCTAAAATTTTCCATTATTTTTTATACGTAGAAATATATATTGCTTATTTGAAAGTAAGCAATAAAATGATAAAGTCAGTTAGTAAAATGTAATACAGGAAATAATAAAGTTAAAGAAACGTGTTACTTTTTGACTTGATATCTATTTATTAGTCATAACGGCTATAGCAGAAATATGACGTGATAAGTAGAGACATCAAGCTTATAACATCCGAGTTTACAAAAGCGATTTAACTTTGCGCGTTAATCCTCCTGAAGACCTACTTTTATAGCCTTCTGATGCTGCACTGTAATTATGTTTAATTTAATTACCCTCGGGCGATTATCAGAACTCTGAGGCACGGTTGCAACGTCGATTAGT